AGACGAGCTGTGATGTTTCTGACCTAGGGCGAACCAGTTCTCTCCATTGACTAACTAGAAACGAAGGAGAAGAGTCACGAACACTGCTGAGGTGCTTTACCAACTGAAGTAGGTCAGGAGCATGGCTCTGATACCATGTTTCGACTGGTGCTACAGTAGTCCGAACCAGGAAGAGAAGAAGAAGAAGAGAAGAAGAAGAAGAAGGGTCTGTCGAAATCTGATGGATTACCCATACAGTCGACCCCCTTAATCTATATTATATTCTAATAATCTTTACAAAGACAAAAATTCCCTTACTTAAGTGTGGGGCAGAGTGACTCTAATAACACTGCCACATAAGCAAGCTACTTAACAAACATAAGAAGACTAAACTACCCCTATTTGGCACACTTTAACAGCTTCAATCACCTTATAAAATCTTCTCACTCCAACTCCTTGGTTGCTCTTATTCTGCCACCTTCTTTGCCCCAAGTATTGGTTCATAATAATCAGAATTAGCTTCCATGCACTTCTTCAACAATCCCATCATCTGGAAACACTTCTTGTTATCTTCTTTTTTCTTTGCATCTTCACTGCGCTTCTCCCACATGAAAAATGCATCCTTACATCTACCTCCTTTCATGAACAAGCAGAGACCACACTCCCTCACTCTCCCTCTTCATCATCTCTCTCTCCTCCCCCTTCTTTACCGTCCTGATCGCATCTTGACATATCTTTCCGTTCACACCATCTTTTGTCACAGAAATCTCTACCGCCTTATCCCTCTCTGTTGAAGGGGTTGAGATTTCTGTTGGTGTTTAATTTTTTAAGGTTTTGATTTCAGGGGGTGAGGAAGGGTTTGAAATTGCAAGGGTAGAGATTTCTGTGGTTTCAGTTAAGGAAGAAGACATAAGATTTTGAAGTTTTTAGGGTTTGCCATTGGGGAGTTGCAGTCAAATTTTACAATATTGAGAAAAGGTTTCCATGTTCAATGTTTCTTTCCTCAAACCCTAGGGTTTCATTCCTTGGAAGAATTATGTATATATATTATATATATGTAAATAGATTGCAGGCCAGGCCTGGCCCTGAAACTTCTGGGCCTGATGTAGGCCCAGGCCCAAGCCTGGATCTGCTGTTGCAAGGTTGTTTTTAACAGGCTATTATCCAATCATGAGTAAACACACCAGTGTTCTATATAACCTGAGTGTGGATCCCATGTGTACAAAACAGTGGTGTTTTCACTCGTGATTGGATACGTAACTTGTTACACACAGACTTAAGAGCAGTAGATCCCAATTCCCCAGGTCTGGGCTGGGCTAAGAGGGTTCCAAGTCCTTCTTGGATCCCTCCCCCCAATGGCTTTACAAAACTATACTTTGATGGTAGCAGTATTGGGAATCCAGGGCAATCTAGTATTGGGGGAGTCTTCAGGAATGAGGATGGGAATGTATTCTCTATTTTCTCAGGCCCAATTGGAGAAGGTGACTCTCTCAGGGCTGAGATCTTTGCAGCCTTGGGAGGAATCCAAAGAGCTAAAGAAATGAATATTAGGAGGCTGGTAATTGAAGGTGACTCAGAGGTGGTGGTAGGTTGGCTAAAGGAAGACGAGATTGGAATGTGGAGTTACAACAATGAAAAGAAAAAATTTTAATGTCTAAGGACATTGAGATAAAGTGCAGCTGGGTGAAGAGAATTTCTAATTTGTCTGCTGATGGGTTAGCCAAGCAAGGGGTGAATAGGGAATCCTTGTTCTGGGCTCACTTCTCATTAGGTTTTCTTTTTCTTTCTTTTGGTGGCCTCAGCCTTTTTTTGGGGGAGTTAAGACAGTTTTTCTCCTCCTCCTTGTACTTAAAGTTTCTTAATGATTAATGAATGTTTTTTTTATTATTGATCAAAAAAAAAAAAGAACTCTGCTAATGGGACAATACCTGCTGGAGAAGGAATTCAACTCATAGAAACCTTAGATCTCTCCCCAAGGAGGGATTGCCTATGCCAATTCGTAGGTGTTGGGTGATGAACCATTTTCTCATTTTTCTTGTTAACATTTTTACATATTGATCTGACATTTATCTAAATGATAGTTTGTTATTAGCACCTCTTATAATGGGGATGACAAGAGGGTTTTCATTGGTTCTTTGGGTTTTAAGTCATCACCTTTTCTGTTTAAGTATCAACATGCTTCTTTCTGATTTTTCTGTGTGTGTGGGGGGGGTCTTATGGGTTGTAGCTAAATGCCCTGGTTGTGTTTGGGAGTCTTCATGGTTTTTTCCCAATAAATCCGTTATCAGAAAGGGGATAACAAATTAGTAAGATCTGTTACTGTGGATGTTTTTGGCACTGTTGAAACGCCAATTATCTAGTTGCAATGTTTGCTGCGAGGACTTTGCATGAACTTCCCATGAAGATCCACCTAGTTTTCTGCTTGTATTTTGTTATTTAGTTCTACCTAATTTGCATTTGGTACAATAATTTGTCACATCTGCTGATTTTTCTTTCCCCTTCTCTGCATTCTTTTTCTTATCACTAGAATGACATTGAAAATGGGGGAAAGCATCTTTGTTCTGTAGTCTATGGTTCATTACCACCAGAGACTCGAACAAGACAGGTAATTTTGTTCTCCCTCATATTTTAAATCTCTGTTTTGTCTTTATAAATTTATGTATGCTCTATGCAATCTCTCTATGTTTAAATTTTTACTGATTTAACTTATATGTATCCTTTTTGTTAAAAGTAAAACTGATTTTCTCCAGTAACTTCCATTAATATGTTTTTTTATTGTGGTAGTGTCTGCATTTAGTTGAAACCTGCTTTATGGAATAATGTAGGTTATGGGAAATAATAGAATCACTATGTTATGGGCCCGAGAGTAGGATCTCGTCACGGGGAAAACCTCCTGTTTTCCCTTGTTCCTCCCTTTCCTTGAAGAACCTATCTTGCCGTCCTAAAAGGTGATTTGTTCAAGAGATCACCAATTCTCCTTTGCTCTCTTTCTTGACTGAAATTTTCGATGGTTTTATTCAATATTCTCAGCTCCTTAAATAGGAGATTACAAGAGATAAGAGTCTTACTTTTAGGAAGACTCCTTGCTAATTAGGAAGACTCCCTACTAATCTATCCTACTGAACTGATAAGATAAGATAAGACTCCCTTAATCTATCCTACTGAACTGATAGGATAAGATAAAACTGAACTGATAAGATAAGATAAGACTCCCTTAATCTATCCTATTGAACTGATAAGATAAGATAAAACTCCCTACTAATCCATACTACTGAATTGATAAGATAAGAACACTGAATAGATAAGACCTCTACTAATCCCTGCTATTGAAAGCAGGTAAGGTAAGAATACTGAATAGATAAGATAGGATGAGAATACTAAATTGCTGCTGCTGAGAACACTAAATTACTGCTACTGCTGCACTAAATTACTGTTGCTGCTGCCGACACCCACATCATTACTCCCCTCCTAGACTATGAGCTTGTCCTCAAGCTCGAATTCAGGGTGGGTGTCTTGAAACACAGTCAAAGGAATCCCGGATAGGTGGAATGATTTTGCCCTCCTGGATCGGGTTCCAATGAAGAGGGTTCATCCTCAGATAGCTCTAGTGAGATACCAAGATTTGACCATGCGTAGCTGCATTCTTTGCCGCAGCCAATTGCAGCCTTAAGGTACTTCTGAGATGTCTTGAACTGTAGAGTACAAAGATTGTGAAGGCCAAGCTGGTGCCACTGAACCGCATCATCTGGATCCTCTTCTAATGCCTGCTTTAGTGTGTACAGAGCCCGCTCTTCCACTTCCGTCAAATCATTATGTCCAGTTCCAAACGTTGCTGCAATTTCATGCTGAGCCTTGTGAACCATGGCAAGTCCTGCCCATGCTATCCGAAGCTCAATTGTTGCAGAGTCCCCTTCTCAGAGTATTGAAGCCATTTCATTTGCAGACCTTTCTGCATCCTTGATACAATGAAGCGCAACAACATATCGAGTTGACATGCAATTAGGCTCCAGTTTTGCTGCCTTCTCCAGGCACTTTCCAGCACTTCTATGATCATCAGCCAAATAGTATGCATTAGCAAGATTCACCCAGATAGGTGCAGCCCTAGGATCTGATCTGACTGCAGCTAACAAACACTCTTTTGCAACATTTGTAGCCGCAACATGAGCCATACAAGCTCCTTCACCAGCACTTGCCCCCAGCACCTGCAACAACTTGAAGATATGCAATCCCAAGATTCTACAACACCTCGACGACACTGGATTCCTGCTTAATCGGGACATTCTGGGTGTTGCTAACTTGCGCTAGGGCAACAACCTGTTGCTCGCCCGACAATTCTGCCACGTCTGGCTGGCGGTCGGTTGTGGTTGCAGCCCCTTCCGGGTTCCTTTCCTTGCTGGAAAAGTACAACTCCATCAAGCGCCTTAATTCTCGGACATCGTCCTTGATCTCGCGCACCTCCGTGCTGTTTTCCACGATCTTGAGCTCCAGATCCTGAACCCTAGTCTTCAACTGCTCAAGGTCGCCCATGACACCTTGCTCTGATACCAAATTGTTATGGGCCCGAGAATAGGATCTCGTCACGGGTTGGTCCACGAGGAAAACCTCCTGTTTTCCCTTGTTCCTCCCTTTTCTTGAAGAACCTATCTTGCCATCCTAAAAGGTGATTTGTTCAAGAGATCACCAACTCTCCTTTGCTCTCTTTCTTGACTAAAATTTTCGATGGTTTTATTCAATATTCTCAGCTCCTTAAATAGGAGATTACAAGAGATAAGAGTCCTACTTTTAGGAAGACTCCTTGCTAATTAGGAAGACTCCCTACTAATCTATCCTACTGAACTGATAAGATAAGATAAGATAAGACTCCCTTAATCTATCCTATTGAACTGATAAGATAAGATAAGACTCCCTACTAATCCATACTACTGAACTGATAAGATAAGAACACTGAATAGATAAGACCCCTACTAATTCTTGCTACTGAAAGCAGATAAGGTAAGAATACTGAATAGATAAGATAGGATGAGAACACTAAATTGCTGCTGCTGAGAACACTAAATTACTGCTGTTGCTGCCGGCACCCACATCACACTAGTTATTATCACTTCAAAAATTCCATGGATCTTGGGATGGGTGATACTATTGAGTTAAACGAACCTATACTTGACCTTACAAGTCAATGAACTTTATAGCTGGGCATTGTTGACCAGCTATATCATCTTAAAAAGCTGGTAAATAGAAACAATGATTTAAAAGGCATGTCTTAGGTGTGCTTAGGTGCATAGGTGAGGCACATCGACATGAGAACTCAAATCAATTCATTCATTCCTCCATGTTTTTGCACTACTGAAACAATTTTGCTATTTTTTTGTCATGTCTATTGATGTCGCGTTAGATCTCTTGACCAGTGGATTGTACCTTCTTTGTTTTTTAATGAAAATTTCCTTTTTACTATAAAAAAAGACACCTTATGGGTGGGCAGTCCTGCTAGAACTAGAAATTGCAGAGGTTATAAAATTATAACTATTGTAAGAAAATTTAATGACTTAGATGCCCTTTGATAAACCTGAAATTTCTGAATTGAATGACTTGTTTCTTTGTCTTTTAGTGGATAAAATAATTCATCATCATCATCATCATCATCATCTATAAGGCTTGTCCCAACAATTTGGGGTGAGTGAAAAATCTCCTGGGGGCCATTATCTATTGATGTTTCTATCTATCTGAGGTCTTGGGAGAGGTAGACAGAATGCAGGCCTAACTTTTGACATTTTTTTACACAATTTCCGTTCTCAAACTCAAACCTTAGGGATTGGGGCAATGGTAAAATCTCAATATCTCTCTCAATATATCCAAATATATTAGAGTAAAAAAAAATCCAAACATCTCTCTATTTCCCCAGTATCTTAAAAATTTTCAACATATCAGCAAAATTTCCAATTGTTATGTGAAAATATCCCAAATTTTGGTGAAATATGAGGGGAATTTGCCAGTCTTTCCCAAACCAATTGGAAATGAATGTTACAATCATGAGACATAGAAAATGCTTAAACCATAATTTTATATAAAATTAAGAGAAACGTATTTGAAATTGTTGATTCTAGGCCTTTGAAGCAACATCTTTATTGGAAATTTCAAAACATAAAGATCTTTTAAATTTTTATTTAAATAATTAATATAGGTACTTGCTTAGAAGGCTTGCTGCTGCCTATTCTAAGAGCTCAGTCTGGTTTGACTAATTACAGACCTGGTCTATATGTGTATAGTTCACTTTACATGGCCCATACTTGTATATGCCTATGGCATCACAATTCAAAATTGAGATAATTTTAAGGAACCTTAAAGAAAAGAGTTAGGATATAAAGGTTATATTTGGTTTTTAAGTACTCACCTTGCATAATAATAAATTACATGTTTCTCTCAACGCCTATTTAAGATATCTTCTATCAGTTATTGTACATGGTGGGAAGTTATATTTTAGGTTTTGAGTGTAATTATACTTTTTTTAACATTTCCAGAAGCTTCATAAAAAATTCTTTTTTCCAATTTTTAAATCTTTCCCAAATTCTTATATTTTTTAATCTAGCAAAATTTACAATGTTTGCCTAGTGTCACATGGAAAAATACCTGATGAAATCAAAACTTTGAACCATGAAGCTTGGATCTATATGGCAATTCAGCAATTCCGTCAGTTGATGTCAAGGTGTGGAAAGAGGCACTTAACATCTTTCATATTTAACAAAATTAGAGATCTCAACTTTGATCTTATCTGTAATTTTGTGGATCCAAGAAGTTTTAACTCAATAACAAACAGTTTAGCTTGGAACAGCGGTGGAAGGAGCATTTCTCTGTACTGACTACTGACAACTTTTTACCCACCTAAGGGTTTTTTTTTTTTTTGTAACTGAAGAGGACTAGCCACTTTTACTTGAACTTGAATTATCTGTAGCACTTCTGGTGTTCAGATAATAGCAGATCACGATTTGGGTGGGTATTTCACCTTGAAAGGCCAGAAAGGTGAGTGAAAGCTGTGGTCACTGATTACTTCCATCTCACTGCTATTTTGAGTGTACTTGTATTTTATAAATCATCCACATGTTGAAAAATTGAACTTTAATGCTGCCGATTGGATACCATCCTGATTGTTGAAAGCATATCTTCTGTCTGTGCTTAGCTAAGTAAATCTGCTTCTTAGAATGCAGGCGACAATGTTCAATGATGAAAGTAGCCAATTTGATGTTCTTGTTGCCAGTGATGCCATTGGGATGGGACTCAATTTGAACATTTCTAGAATTATATTTTCAACATTGAAGAAGTTTGATGGTACAGATATGCGAGAACTTACTGTATCAGAGATCAAACAAATTGCAGGTATACCCTTATCTAATTTAGCCAGGCATTATTTCCATCTGATGTGTTAATCTAGTCAGAATTTAGGCATTGTTCAGTATCTCTCTCAGGCATTATCTTTGCCACATTGCACATGCACCACAAAAGGAACTATCTTTTCGATTCTTTCAATTCTACAAAAATCCTTCATCTTTCGGCATATTTGCCTTAGCAGACTGAGATTAGATCACTATATCCTAGAGAAATTTCAGGGTCTCATAATGCTATATAATGTCAATAGCTTTCAGGTTGAAATGCTATTTTATATTTCTAATATTTGTCATTATCTTCTATGGTTCTTCCTTTATTCCCAAGCCCGTTGGAGATCAGTGAATAAGATCTTATGCAATTCTTGTAAAGAAAACATTAAATTTTGGGGTATGTAGGTCATAGTTATCAAGGTACACCTAGGTGACGGCCTAAGTGCTGTGATTTAAAAGGTGCGCCTAGGTGAATAGGTGAGGTGGTGCATTTTAAGGTATGCACCTCACCTAGCCCCCAGGTGCAACACTTTCAAAATGCACGTGCCTGGTGCGCCTAGGTGTGTGCCTTGTGCAAAGGTGGTTCGTAGAATTACGAATGCATAATGTTTAACATCACATTAGCTATTTGAGATAATGCAATTGGGAAAAGAATTAAGAGATTGAGAGTTTTACATGATTGAAACATATGATTAAAAGTAATACTGCTTTACAAAGCTAGTTTTGTAGTGTCTTTATATGCAGAATTCATTATTGTTGGCTTTTTTTCTCAGTACTTTTCCAGTTAGAGATAAAAGTACGAACATTTCAACATGGATAATACCCAATAAATTATAGATCTTGTTTGTTAGATAACTATTGCTTAACTGATGCCTAGGCACCTGCTTAAGCGCTTAGGCCACAAGGTTTTACTTTGTGCATAGTCTCGCCTTGCTACCTTGATAAGTATGATTTAGATATTGTGCATCATTTGTAATCAACACTTGGCTAAAACTTTGGAGTAGATTACTAATTACAAATGGTGGTGTTTTTCATCCAAGGTTGTGAACCATAGAGAAGGTAAAAGGTGGTTATCCATGTTTTTTGAGAAGTTTAAATAATGTCTTCTCCCCTGAAGCATGTTTGATATATATTGAGTCTTACTGGTTGTCTAGATGGCTAGTTATTGTTATTTTTTTGTTTTGCGTTTTCTTTTTCTTCCAGGTAGGGCTGGCAGGTTTGGATCTAAATTTCCTTGTGGGGAAGTGACATGCATCGATGCAGAGGACCTACCTTTGCTCCATTCATCATTGAAGTCTCCCTCTCCTGATCTGGAGGTGATGGTCTTATCACTGTTGTTGGATGGTTGAAGCTTGTTTACTGATTTTTTATGCACCAGTGTTAACTTTTTTTTTTTTTGATAAATGAGTAAAATTTTGTTAAACCAGCAAATAAGAGTTACATGCAACCTATAGAAAGGCACGAGATGCGACATTTCCTTTAAAGTTAGTTACAGAGTTATAAGTACAAAAGAAATTACACAGAAGCCCAAAATAAAGCATCCCGGAGAACCCCTTGTTTTGCAAGTGAATCAGCCATTGAGTTTGTCGATCTGCCTACCCACTGAACTCTGATTGTGTCGTATTCTTTGTTAACCATTTAACCTTTTTGAGAAGATCTCTAAAACCCCAAATCACAGTGTCCGGATCCTTCAGCCAACCCACTATCACCTGGGAATCCCCTTCAAAGATTAGATGCTCAATGCCTAGCTGATTTGCAAGCTGGATTCCTTGTACAGCAGCAAGTAATTCGGCCCTTAACGAGTCTCCCACACCCGCAGGACCTGAGTACAAAGATATTAACTTTAGAGGATAGTCCTCAATTGGATATTGTAGTCATTTATGCACTTATGGTGTGATTATAGGTCATGCTTTCTATATTTTTTCTTTTCTAATGAATCATATACTTTACCATGCAGAGTGCTGGATTATTTCCTACCTTTGATTTGTTGTTCTTGTACTCGCGTTTACATCCAAAAATGGGCTTCCATCAGATACTGGTAGGTAAAATTTTCAGCATCTCTCTCTCTCTCTCTCCCCCTTTATATGCGCATGTGTGTGTGTTGCAAGGATCAGCACTGGCTTGAACATGGTACTTTGGGTGGCCTTTAACTTTTGGAATATGGTACAAAAAACAGTAGCACTGCCTTGCTCTCCTCACTTTGCATGGTATTTATACATTGGGATTTTTTTTTTCTTATTCATATAACATTGGATGAAATTAGGACCAAGAACTGACCCCATTTTATTGTCATTAAGTCAATGGGATGAGATGAACGGGTAAAGCTAACCTGAATTCAGTTAGGTGGTAATTCCTTTGATACATAAGGGATATGTTTACTCTTAATGAGGTAAGTAGTTGTAAGATGATACATTTACTTTGACATGGATGGACTACAAAAAAAGTCATAGTGATTGTTGGGCATGGAATTTAGTTGATTTATTTGGTTAATCACTATGCTACCCAGATATGGCAATGACATGGCTGGGCATGGTGTTAGATATGGAATTTAAACTAAAATTTGAAGTACCTAATGCGATATGACACTCTTTTACAAGTATTATCCAGAAGAGAAAGTGAAGAGAAGAGAGAAGGAAGAGGAGAAAAGAGAGATCTGTGAGCAAAACTCAGTGTTGGCGGCGCCAACTTTTTTGGTATTTATATTAGGGCAACCATAACATAATATAAAAGAGCGGGAATCACAATAGTACCCCTACAATACTAAACAGAAATAAAACAAAAGACAAACAACCTATAAATAACCTTTTAACACTCCCCCTCAAGTTGGGACATAGATGTCAATCATGCCCAACTTGTCACATAGATCATTATGCCGTAAGTGATGTAAACCTTTTGTGAAGATGTACGCAAGTTGATCTTCGGACCTGACATAAGGGCTGCACACTTCCCCTTTGACAACCTTTTCTTTGATAAAATGCTTGTCTACCTCAATATGTTGGGTTCTATCATGCAGTACTGGGTTAGCAGCAATGTTTATGGCTGCCTTGTTATCACAATATAGTCATAGTTCCATCAACTGTAAATCCTAGCTCACTTAGCAATTTTTTTTAGCCACATTATTTCAGCCATTCCATGAGACATTGCTCTATATTTAGCTTCAGCACTAGACCTAGCCACCACATTCTGCTTTTTACGTCTCCATGTGACTAGGTTTCCTCCCACAAAGGTACAATAGCTGTTGGTAGATTTCCTATCATTCAATGATCTTGTCCAATCTGCATCAGTATACACTTCAACCTTCAAATGTCCGTGCTTTTGGAACAATAAGCCTGCACTTGCAAATTTCTTAAGATATCTGAGAATTCTTTCAACTGCTTCAAGGTGGGTGGTCTTAGGGGCATGCATGAATTGGCTAAGAACACCCATTGCATAAGCAATGCTTGGCCGAGTCATGGAGAGATATAGCAGTCTTCCTACAAGCCTCTGAAATTGCTTTACATCTTTGATGAATTCACCTTGACAATCACTTAATTTGTTATTAGGATCAATAGGAGAATCAACGGGTTTCACTCCCAATTTTCTTGTATCCTGTAATAGATCTAAGACATACTTTCTCTAAGAAATGAAGATACCCTTTTGTGAGCGGGCAACTTCAATTCCAAGGAAGTATCTCAAAGGACCTAGATCTTTCACCTCAAACTGAGTAGCAAGAAATCCTTTAAATTTTTGAATTTCATATTTCCAATCACCAATGATAACTATATCATCAACATACACTATTAGGGCTGCAATTTCCCCTTCCCCTTTTTTCACAAGCAATGTATGATCAGATTGACATTGCTCGCTGCCTTTTTGTTGTACAACTAGCTGGAATCTGCTGACCAAGCTCTTGGTGATTGTTTCAGGCCATATAATGACTTCTTCAACCTGCATACCTTTTGTTCATTACCTTGAACCTAGAAACTAGGGGGTTGTACTATGTACACTTCTTCTTCAAGATCACCATTTAGAAATGCATTCTTGACATCCGATTGGTGAAGGTCCTGATAAGAAGTTAGTGGCTAAAGAGAAAAGAACCCTAATGGAGTTCATCTTAGCAATCGGTGTAAAAGTTTCTACATAATCCACCCCATACACTTGAGTGAACCTTTTTGCCACTAAGCGAGCTTTATACTACTCCACTATGCCATCAACGCTATGTTTTACTATAAATACCCATTTATATCCAATTGGTTTTTCCTCGTGCCTACACTCTGCCTGAGGAGAAACAAGAAAGAAATGTTCACTCTCAAAAAGGGAGACATCCATAGAAACATGATATTTTTGAGAGATGGGCTCAAAGCACCGGTACCCCTTTTGAGTTGTAGGGTACCTCAAGAAGATGCAAGGAATAACACGGGGATCCAATTTCCCATGAGTGGGTGATAGGTTTTGGACAAAACAACAACTAAACACATGGAGAGGAATAGACAAAGGAGGAGCCTTGGAAAACAGAAGTTGATGTGAGACTTTGTACTCTAACCATCGAGAGGGCATGCGATTAATGAGATAAGAAGCACAATGGATAACTTTAAACCAAAAACGTTTGGGGACATTCATATGAATCAATAATCCCCGAGCCGCTTCAAGAAGGTGGCGGTTCTTCCTTTCAGCTACACTATTTTGTTGTGGTGTTCGGGCATAGGAGCTACAGTGGAGTGATCCACGTGAAGCAAAGAACTTCGTGAGATCTATGAAAGTATTCTTTGGCATTGTCGGATTGGAATATTTGGATTTCGGTTTGAAATTGGGTGAAGATCATTCTTTGGAAATCTTGGATAATTTTTGGAACTTCATCCTTAGTTCGCATGGGATACAGTCTTGTGTACCTAGAGTAGTCATCAATAAAGGTAATAAAATACTTGCAGCCACTTTTAGATGGTAAAGTAACTGGGCTCCAAACATCAGAGCGAACAATATGGAAAGGAAATTCAGATTTATTATTCTTTGAAGAAAAACGAGTTCTACAATGTTTACTCAACTGATAAGTTTGACATATCAACTCTGACACTGACACCGACTTAAACAACTCTGGAAATACAATCTTTAAGGAATCAAAGGATAAATAACCAAGACGATTGTGCCATAAATAGGCTTGACTCTTACTAGACTGACTCTTAGACTCTGTGACAGCAAGACCAGCTTTATTCTCCAGAAGGGAAGAAGGTTACTAAACAGTTTAATGAATAGGTGATACTACTAACAGAAAACAAATTAATAGGGAATTATGGAACATGTAAGACATTAGAAAGGGTAGGACCAAAAGGAAGAGAAATGGTTCCTTGATCAACTATGGTAGAGAATGAACCATCAGCCAGTCTCACTTTGTTTCTTCTAGAGAGAAGATGATAGGTCTGAAAGTAAGTCGACTTACCAGTCATATGTTTTGACGCTCCATAATCAATTATCCAAGGAGAGTTAGAGGAATGAGATGATACATGGAGAGCTGTGCCAAAAATACCTGATGTAGACGCATATGAAGTTGATGGAGGAGGAGCATCCATCTGACGAATTGCCCTACCATAAAGTTCTAAATGGTCACAGAAGGAATTAATGATATCCTCCCTAGTGTCAGAACCAGATGTGTATGTTTGAGTTGTAGTAGTAGTTGGGGGTTGGTTCTCCTGAGTAGCTATGTTTGTTGTAGTGAACTTTGCTTGAACTTTGTTGTCCTAACTTCTTATTCAGACCTGAACCCTATTTTTTACTCAATTCCTAAGCCCATTTTGGCTTCCCATGAAGGTCCCAACATGTGTCACAAGTGTGTCGAGACTTCTGGCAATGCGTGTACCATAATTTTTCTTTGTCATCCACCCTTTTTTGAGAGTCTCCCTTCTTAAAGGGATTTACCCCACTTGTAACAACACTTCCTTTCGTTGCCAGCATGACTGCATCTCCCCTAGAATTATTCATCAGATTTCTTCTACTTTCCTCTGACTGTACTAGAGCATATACCTCTTGGACAGATGGGAGATCCTTGCTTCTAGGGGTGGATTCGAGCAGAGCCGAGCCGAATAGTACCAGGCTCGAGCTCGGCTCAAGACTATTCTACAAGGCTCGAGCTCGGCTCGTTTTATATTTTATAAAAATATTTAGAAAAAATATTTTATAAAAATAAAAATTATATATAAATTTTTTTTAATTTATATTTAAAAATTAAGAATTATAATATTTTTATTATATATATTATTATATTATATATATATTCGAGCCAAGTCGCGAGCCTCACGAGTCGAGCTCTAGTAGGCTCGAGTTCGGCTCGTTTAATAATCGAGCCATTGAATTGGGCTGGAGCTTGGTTGAAATCAAGCTTTTCACGAGTCAAGCTCAAGCAGCTTGTGAAAAGCTCGACTCATTGCCACCCCTACTTGCTTCCAAGGATTTGTACTCTAATGGATTCATACATAGGGTTCAGGCCAAGGAGGAAGGCAAAGACTTGCTGCTGTGAAACAAGAGACCTATACGCTTTGGCATCTTCATCACACTTCCAATCTACACTTTGATAGCAAGGTTCAAAAAATCGTTACATATCGGCTTGTATCAGCTGATATGTATTGTATCAGGCCCTTCTCAATACACCTCTACAGGGGTTGTATCGAGTCAGGGCCTAGTTCGGAGGGTAGTTAGGACTTAAACCGGCCCCTCTGAACCAAAACCGAAAAAAATAAGTAAAAGTTAAAAAAATGGACCGATATAGTATCGATACTTTGAACCTTGTCTGATAGTGATCCAACTCCTTCTAGATGAAAGACGTCTGAATAGTACACAGAGAGACTCCTCTCCCCCTGTTTACAAGTAGAGGATTCTGCCTGTAACTAATAGATTTTTGCATAGTGGCACAATTCTGAATTGGTTGACTTTGCTTGTTCCCAAATCTCATAAGTTGTTTCAGCCCACATAAAATTTATTCTCACCTGAGGTTGCATAGACACTAAGAGCCATGACATTACCATGTTATTTTCCTGGTTCCATCTATCATGTTCAGCACTCCCAAAATTAGGTTCTTTAATTCTTCCATTTATATGTCCTATCTTTCCCCTTGCAGTAATGTATAACCTGATCCCCTTCGACCATTCTAAGTAATTGAGACCATCAAGAGGTATGACAGCCATAGGGAAGGATAAATCCATACCCCCACTCAGTCCATTCTGCATTGAGGAGACACCAGATGTGCAGAATCTTCACTATTCATGATAACTAGTTCAGATCACACTCGAAAGAGTTCCAAAAAAGAATTAGAAAAAAAATACAGTCCAACCTATTTCCCTTTCACACACTATTATTTCTAAAAAAAAAAATGCACCAGGAAGCTAGAGACAGCCACCTTTTAATTCGCACAGTCCTTCATTTACCAAAAAAATGTTTTACTGCTGTTATGGCACCTACAGGTCATCTCCGACCTACAATCTAACCACCGGACTGTTGTCACAGCACACACAGGTCATCTCCAACCTACAAACACACCACAAAGCTGCTGTCACAGCACATACAGGTCACCTCCAACCTACAACCACCACAAGAATCACTCGGTCCTATAAAAAAGGAAGGTACAGGTGCTGATCACCTCACATCAGTTGATTGATCCCCTTGTTTTGGTTCCATCCTGATACACGATCAGGAAAAAAATAAAAAAAGGAAAGAGAGAAGCTTCTGAGATCAGTCCAAAGATCTACCTTGGTTCTTCAGAGAAAAAATTCAGCAGCAAGTGAAGGGCGAAGACAAAAGAGTGCTTTCTCGATCTTCTTTCAGATCAAATGGGCCTGCTCTGATACCATATTATCCAGAAGAGAAAGTGAAGAGAAGAAAGAAAGAAGAGGAGAAAAGAGAGATCTGTGAGCAAAACTCAGTGCTGGTGGCGCCAGCTGGTATTTATATTAGGGTGACCATAGCATAATATAAAAGAGGGGGAATTACAATAGTACCCCTGTGATACTAAACAGAAATAAAAAAAAAAGACAAACAGCCTTTTAACAACAAGTATCCGTATATTGTAGTTGAACAAATGGAGTCTGTCTCGAGGTAGAAAGTTTAACATATATTTCATCATTGAGGGATTGTAAAGGGTTACCTGTTGTGGAAATCATTCTGCCAACTGCAGCTATATTGCCATTTAGTTGGCCAACCTTGGAATCCATCTGATGCGGTTTTCACTCTGGAATCCAATCTGATTATGGGATCTCATTTAACCTGATTGGTTTTTTATATATATTTCCTTGTTGGGCCCCAGTGTATGTTCAATTCAACCTCCCAGGATTGTTGTAGCACATACTGATGCAGGTCAGGAGTCCTAATTCCACAAGTGTGAATGGGCCCATTTCCAACTGACCCAACATGTTCAAGTCTATCAGGGCCAATTCCAGCAGGCTTGACTTGCTCCATCTAGGCTCGTCTGTGGACCCTGATGCAGAGTGCCAGTTCAGATGCATATTTGGCTTCAGTGCCATCTACATAGGAAGAAGGTCATTTACTAGTCAAGTTAACCATTGTTGGGTCTTGTAATCAGTTAGCACAATAAGAGTTCCCATGTTGCATTTAAAGCCAATTTTGCGTTCCATCTACTGCATGTAGCCTTTTATGGGCATCTTATGAGAAGTTTTTTTTTTTTTTGTAAAACTATTAGAAGGCAAAATTATGAGAAGAAAGTTGAAGCTTTTTGGCTGGCCCTTATCCCATCATTTTAAATGTGCATGGGGCATTTTGTGCTTGAGGTGTGAGGCGCAAGATGAGGTGTACCTTTTCAAAGCAAAGAGCAAAAATGCAAAAAAAAAGCTAAAAATTTCAAAAATGCCAAAAAATAAAAATGTAAAACATAATAACTTAAATTTTAAAATAAATGTTTTAGAAAAACCTATTATCTCAAATTAAAACACATGAACATAACATGTAAAACATATTTAAAATGAAAATTTAAAAATAAATCAAGTATAACATCTAAAACATGTTCAAGCGTGTGAAATTCTCAATCTCTTTATTTTTTTTTTCTCAATTGCATTACTTCAAATAGCTAATTCTATGAGCTGCCTTTGTACCAAGCCCCTTGAGCTCCAAAAACCCCCCATTTGCTAATGTTGCTCATTCATTCATCTTAATAAAAGATACTTTTAAAAGACAATTAAAATTATAAAATCTTTTTTATAGGAGTTAATCATTTAAGATTCTCATATGGACTTATTTAGGCTTGCCTCGAGGGGCTTGGTTGGGGGTCTGGGGGCAGATCCCCCAGCCCAGCTGGTTAACATAAAAAAACAAAAAAATGTGCATACCTGGGCTGAAGTGCAAGGCACACCAGTTATGCACCTTTTTGAAAGTGCTGCACCTGGGACCTAGGTGAGGTGCATACCCTAAAATGTGCCTTGCCTGTGCGCTTTTAAATCACTACCTTATTCATCCCTTGGTTGGTAATGCTGGGATTTGAGTTCAATGATTCCCCAACAATTCAAGCTCATTATGCAATCCCCCCTCCTGAAATTGGTATTTCTTCAACCATTTACAGACTTGGGTTTGTTTTCCATATTCCCATGCAGGTTCATGTCCTGCATCATGTACACTAGCGGCAAAAAATCATGGCCATTTTGTTTTCCACCTTGATGTGAATATTCCTTGATAATAATTTCAACTTTCAAAATGATCATTTTCATAATATCATCTTGGATGTGCTTGTTTTCAATTCAGTGCGTGTAATAATAAAAGTTCTCATGCTTGCCAACTAGTTGGTTGTAACAGTGAGAAGTTCTTTCTTCCTTTATTTTCAATTTTCATCACAGTGCTTTTACTGTCTGAAGCTTTTTATATGCAGGAAAACTTTCTGGAGAATGCAAAGCTATCTTCAAATTATTTCATTGCTAACTGTGAAGAAATGTTGGTACGCCATCTGCAGTGATTTATTTATTTAATATAAGAAGCTCCTACACTCGCAGTTGCAATTTGCCTGAATTGATAGTCTAGGGTTTCTGCAATTAAAATTTTCTTATGGCAAACTTTACATTTTTGAATATTAAATACCCTTTTCTGACAACAGAAAGTTGCTGCTGTTATTGATGAGTTGCCCTTACAGTTACATGATAAGTACCTTTTCTGTATTAGGTAATTTCTTTCACCATGGTTATTCTCACCCCTAAAACTCTTGACTCATTTAGGTTGATAAGGGGAAAACAATCTTTTCTTGTCCATTTGGTCAGTTACAGAATAGTAGCAAGTCTTCCATTAGCACTAGTTCAATTGCATAGAAATGAATCAGAAGCTTTTGTACATAATTGTTTCAANCCCCCCTAAAAAGAACTTTGTTTCACAAAATGGAGAACAATCTTTGCTAACCCACTCGGTGAGTTATAGGATAATAGTAAGTTTTCTGGAACTGTTGTTAAAAGCACTGGTTCATTCATTTAAATGTGAGTCCAAAATTTTTGTGGAAAACAGCACCCCCCCCCCCCACGTCAATACTAGTTTCTGATCTTAAGATAGTTGATAAATTAAAATGAGTTATTTGGCTGTCTGAAGAATGTCCCAGGCTTAATGCAGACTTCTCCGACTGTGATGTGACACATCCAAGCCAGCAAGTCACCCAAGTGGTGGTGCTATCATATGGAACCTCAAGGGCTATTGTTCATGTATTTCTTTAAAAATGGCTGACTAGTGGTCTAATTTTTCACATATAGGTAAAGCTTTATTGGTTTTGATGCCCATAAATTGATAGAAAATTCTAATGGTAGCACTTCATTTGATCTATTTTTCTTACCAAATCACGTCCAAAATAATTAAAATGAAATTACTGTCTGTGTGTTGACCAAGTACATCCAAGTGTTTATGTACAATTTACACTCTTGTAATAATTTATGCAGTTTAAATACAATTTGATTCCAATACTGAGAAAATTAATTTATTGATTTATACATGACACCTGCCAAGTATGCCAGATTTGAGATTCTTAGTCAAAGTTCGGCCAGTGAATCAGTTAACATGTCACTGTTATCTAATTTCATCTACATTTATTTTAACTCTATTTTCATGATTTGCAGTCCAGTTGACATGAATGATGACATTTCATCCCAGGGTCTTGTACAGGTAAGTCTGTTCTTTTTTAAATTTTCTCTTTTGTTTTGAATGGGAAACTCATGAGATAGATTGACATTTTGGAGCAGTTTGCACAAACCTATGCAAGAAAGGGCATTGTCCGGCTCCGAGAAATATTTACACCAGGGACGCTTCAGGTGCCAAAAACACAAACTGCACTCAAGGAGCTGGAATCTATTCACAAGGTATATTTATATATGATACAAGTTATAATATCCGCCACTGATAGCAAAAGTAGGTTATGATGGGGTATATATTTGACAATTGCTGAAAAAGTAACTAAGCTCTTATGCTTGAAAACAAATCTTAAATGATCAAGTCCTTAAAATAACGAATGCCAAATGCAGCCTAAACCATTACCTTAATCAAGTTTTGTGCAGCACTTTTTTTCTTTTGATTTGACCAAGTTGAATTAGGAATTAGGGTCAGGGATGGTCTTGATCCGAGTTCTCAATACAGGGTGTAACAATATGGTGCTTATCTTATGCTTACTAATTCAAGATGCCCTTTTGATTGTTTGGTGTTACTACAACAGGTCTTGGATCTCTATGTCTGGTTGAGTTTCCGATTGGAGGACTCTTTTCCTGATCGTGAGCTGGCATCTTCACAGAAGTCAATTTGCAGCTTGTGAGTGAAAAATTAAGCCCCCACATCCAGTCTTTTTCGTGTTGCTTTTAAGTTTGACTATTTTAAGTTTAATTGGTAGGTTGATCGAAGAGTTCTTGGAGAGACTTGGATGGCAGAAGCCAATGGCAAGAAGGTTATCCCCTCGCAAAAGCTCAAGATCTCTGCTTTCCCAAGAAATCAGACAATATCTGTGAAATAACACACCAGCGCGCCCCCCCCCCCCCCCCCAAAAAAAAAAACACAAAGTTTTTCGCTAACCACCAGAATATCCATTTCAATAATGAAATTTTCATTATTGCTTTCCTTTGTAAGCCTACTTTTCTAGAAATTTACCAATATTTCGTTTTGTACCATTATGTACATTTTTTCTGCCTTGTCTAATTATGCATTTGTTGATTTTTTTTTTTGGGTAAACAAATTATGCATTTGTTGATTGTTGTATATGTATATATTTCCCATTTAATTTAATTAGAACTCAATTTAATGCATTATGAGAAATATGAATAATATTTGGCAGTCAACCAATGGGAGATGAGTCAAAAAGTATTGAGTGAGCTAAGTGCAGGAATTTTGTTTAGGAACGAATAAAGGATAAGCATGATGGAGCATGCTACCCTTGTTGGTGAAAATTCTTGAGCTTTGTTTCATGGCTTTTGATGGGCACGGCCAATCCAGGGGACTTTTGTCTCATGATTACAACACATTGCTTCATGGAGTCTTTGTAAAGGATTATTAGAAAGAGGATTGGGGCAAATGGCAATGCATGTAAAATGGGGCTGAAAAGCATTGTATCAGTGTAAGCTACATACTAAAATTTGGGTGTTTCCCTTTCCCTAGCTGTGTATGGTTTGAAAGTAGGGAAAGCAAGAGAAACTTATACAAGGTTTGTACGCTATCTTTCCCTTTCCTTGCCTTTTCTTTCAAATCAAACACACCATAAAAATACACGCCCTGCTTATAATGACAAATATAGGTGCACTTTTTTCCATTAAAATATGTATCATTTGATTATGATTAGGGTGTGTCCTTATTATCAAAATTTAATATGTATCACTTTGTATTTGAACCAGATACAAATTTTACATTTGGTTTAATTTTGCATTTGTTTGTAATTATGATTTGTACTTTTACCTGATACAAATTTTGTATTTTGTCTCATTTATACTCACTAACAGTGTAAATTCTGCATCTCAAAAACTGATGCAAAATTTAGATCACCTTCTTTTTGTTCTCTCTCATAAAGTGGGGACCACATCATCTTGTTTCCTACCTCATTCCCAAACAAATAATCTTTCTCCTCCCTCCATTCTCTTGCATATAATATGGGATCATACCATTTTACTATCTCTTCACAAACAAGATGAAGTAAAATCTCAAACAAAATTTAACCCAAATTTACACTCGTCCCATTTTCTCTTCCATGCATTTACAACCAAATGCAGTGTAATGATTAAAGATTGTTTACTGCACTTAATTGAACATTCGTAGTTATGGTTCATTCTTATTTCTTAATCTTCAAGTAGGTGTTGAGGATAGTTCTTGTATCTTTTTTAAATTATTTTTTATTTGTCATCATCATTAACATCCATGCCTTATCCCAATTATTTGTTTAAATTTATATCTAATTATTTTTTACTACTATTACGGTATTACCCATGTCTTTTCTGGTGTATCCCTAGCTCTTTCAACTTGTAATAAATCACTTCTAACTAAAACTGTTGGTGGTCTTCTTAAATTAATTTCTATTATTACAATCAACTCATTAAATTGAATTTGAGTTAAATAATACAGGAATTGACCCACATTAGAATAAAATAATATGAGAATTTCTACCAAGTAGTTTAGAGAGGATATAACATGAGGTTTCTCGTCTTGTTTTAACTTTTCCAATCACGATTTTTAGTTAATTTCATAAAATTGTGTAAAGCATACCTTAAGTCTTTTAGGAGGTATATCACTAAATTTCCAACCGAAAAAGTATATCACTAAGACCTGCCCAAATTCAAGAGGAAAAAAAGGGAAATGTGCCAATGTGGTCAGTAATGTTGATATAAAAATTATGTATACGATTACCTTCTTGCAACAGAGTACAAAGAGGATATATAGGAAATTTAAATCCCCTGCATTTACCAAAAGGGAAAATAGTCTCCTGCAGTTTGTGCAGAGCGCATTTTAATATTTATTCTTTTGGAGAATATGAGGGAGTGCTGAATTGCTAATAGCTGCTTTGCCTGTTTGGGGTGGCCTTCATGCAGTGGCATTTGGCATTGAATGAGCCAAAAACCCTTGAAAGTCATTAAGCAGTGTTGAGTAAAAATCTGGAAAGTTGAAAAAAAAAGACTTGCTATGAGCTGAAGAATCAACTTTCTAATGAAGCTACCTCCCATGTGGGCTTTAAGTGAGCCGTTTTTATATTTTTTATAAGCCACTAAAAGAAGCTCCAATGATAAGCTTTCCCAAATGGGCTATCCGGGTGGAGCTCAACTTGCTGAGCCAAAAGCCACCACCGGAAAGCCCTCTCAAACGGCAAACGGGCACTAGAATGATGCGATGGTATTTTTCACAATTCCACCGGAAGCCATCTCAACGCATTTATGAGTAAAAGGGAGTGGGACTGGGAATCTCATTTTGTATGGTAGATAGGGGCGAAGGGGAGAGTGATGGCTCCAAACTCCAAAGTTGGATGAGGAATTTCTTCAATCACTGCCAAGTTCTTCTACTCCACTTCAACAAATTCTTATTACCATGACACAAGTTAACCAGCAAAGGAGAGACCCAAATCATATGACATTGACATGGACAGAAAGTTCTTACTATGACCAAGTCTTTCCTTTCCTATCCGGATATGTTGTCGATCAAAATCTCATGAACATCCTATGCACGGAAACTCTTTTCAATCTTTTCAAGGTTCTAAAAATGAAAGTCATCAAAACGCAGATGGAACCAACCTTGGAAGCTGGAGTTAGGAGGGTCTGATAAGTCGGATAAATTTATTATCATTCAATTAGATATAACAAAGTTAAGATGGCCGAGTTGGTCCGAAAGGGCATGGGTTCAAATCCCACTCTCAACAATGGTTGTCTTTTTCTTCTCTGTGGTCCAGACTCGAGAGCTCTTTACTTTCCATCATTTTGAGTAAAATGAGTAGTGTTCACCAAAACCATTCTCATCCGCCACGAGTCCAAAAACGTTGGCCTTGGCCATATGTCAAACCCACCGGCAGGTAAGACTTAAGATTAACCCAATCATTGTTCTTCGCACTTCTCACGCATCTTTCTTTTTGTGGATCTGGTTACGTAGTAGTAGTATATACCTTGGCTATTCCAGTTTCCAGATTTCTCTAAGTAAATGGACTTCAAAGAGAGTAGGATTTGACCTCTAAAAACGGAATCTTTTTACAAGAAAAAGAGGTGGGTCATGTGTGTGGTGGCTGGCCTGTAATTCTTTTGAATAATTAAATTCCTTTCCGATGTGCCATCTTCAATATAACTGAGAGTCTGAGACGTACGTTGGTTATTGGTTTGTGCCGTGTTAATTTAGTCAAAAGCATTCAGCCTTTTGTGCCCTATTAATTGATTTATGACATCTTGGTGTCACAAGATATCCCGTGGAACTCGTCTTTTGGATAAAGCCAGTAGCCTTCCACTGTTGCTGCAACTGCAACACCTAACTGATTGCATATGGATCCAATATGCCTTTGATATAACACCCCCTAATCAAGATTGGGCTGTATAGAATTCAGGTGATTGAATACAATAAAAGTATGTGCCAGAATTGGAGGCATTTATGAGCAACCATTTAGGTGATACTCCAGGAGAATATGGCATGGAAAGGTCATCTGATACTTTTTCAGAAGTTGATAAATGAGAAAATCAAGGTGACCAAGTAAAAATGAGGTGAATACTTGCCCATGGCATCGGACTCTAGATTGAAATCATTTCTGTGCTGCATATAAGCAACAGTCCTGAGGTGGGGCATTAAATGCCAATGAAACCTTTCTGAATAACTCTCTAAATTGGGATGTTAAGAAATGATGGCAGCAGGAGGGCAATACAGAAGCAAACTCCATGGCCTCTTTTTGAATTGACTAAACAACAATAGACAATCTTCTTCTCCCTTCCAGCACTCCTCCCCATTTAGCAGGATGCTAAGGATTTAAACGTCAATGATTGTATCCCTTTTTTCTTTTCTATTGCAGAACTCCATGGCCGGGTTTAGCTGCACAAGTAACCATTGTTCTGCACTTCTGCTCCAAGCTCGGCTTAGATTCCATAAAACAGAAAGGATAAACAAAAAAGAACAAACAGAGAAAGATATAGAGATTATTGCACAAAATACAATAACAATTAGTGTTTTGAATATAGCTAATTATATTTGATCTTAATTAGTCTACAATGGCATCTCTTCTCTTCCCTAAGATGTTGCTATAGTATGTTCTTCAATCAAAGAAGATTCATCCAACCATGGTGCGCTTTCGACCTCTCTGTCTCACTGTAAAAAATATTTTTGAAGACAAAATGATAACCAGCAAGAGAAAATAATAAAGAGCAGTCGTCTTCAAATAGACAAGGATGCAAATAATGGAGCCTCACCCTGAGCTAACTTGTTCAATGTGGATGACCATTGCTTGGATGACTTTCTGTAAGCGGCAAGTATCCGATCCATCTGTCCAATATGCAACCCATGGGGAACTTGATGTTTATAAGGAAAATCAGGGAAAAAAAAGAAAAGACTAACTTTGGCTTACCACATTTCCACATAAGGAATGCATTGAGAACAAGGCTCTCTCAAGTACATACAAGTCAACGGCTTTGTCTTCTGGAAGAGTTGACGTGAAGCTCAGACCAAAGTCTATGAGGACCTAAGAGAACAACAGAGTCAAAAGATAACAAAAAAAAAATGAAGCATCAAATATTGGTGATCATGAGAACGATGGGAACCAAGAGCTCACCAGCTGATTGGTACCACTTCGAATTAACATATTTGAAGTTGTCAAGTCACCATGAATCAAGCCACCATCATGTAATTTTCCAATTGCATCACCAATCTGTGTTGCAATGTCTTCCATTCTTTCCTCAATGACACTGTGCAAACCAAAATCCAGGAATATGTCTTTAACAGCAGGACCCTCCACATATTCAAATGTCAGGGTATGTAATACAGGGTCCACAGCATACAACACTGGTGTGGAAACACCAAGTCGTCTTGCTTTCGTCATGCACCGAGCTTCCTGCAATGAAGAAAGAATAATGACAAATTACCCTTGCTCCTAACTATGTATCGTAGGTATAGATAGAAAACAGTAGAAGATCATCTCTCTTTAAAGACACTGACTGCATTCAAGCGTTTAAGGGTCAGTTTTGAGTCTAACAATGGATGCCTGTACTTCTTTGAGAAACGTTCCTTGACAATGGACTTCCTTCCAACAAAGTTTGACTCAAATACTCTCTGCAAAAGACAGGTAAAAACAGACTTGAATGTCAAATCCCATGTCTTGAAAGTAAAAGAAAAAAAATTAATCCACTTACAGCTTCTGCACCCTGCTTCAAAAGAACAAGGGAACTATCTTTTATATCTTGATCAATCCCCATTATGAAAAAGTCCAATTCAAAAAAGTATCTCCAACTGCAGTCACCATGGAGAATTATTAACTCAAGAAAAGGATCTAGGCAACCAGGAAATGCAGAGAAGTCCATAAATTGCTAAATGAGCAATTTAATTATAACAAATAAAATCGAATCTACAAGGTACATTTATCACAGGTACAAACACCAATTGAAAGAACAAAATCCTTACAACCATTTCCCACCCTCAATAAGCTTTACTAATAGTAACCTGTGAATCATTGCAGATTTTTCCACTGTGTAGCAAATATGTGAATCATGGAAGATATACATGTGACAATGTTAGCACAAGCAAAGAATTCAGGAATTTTCCTCATATGCTTCATTTTTATCTTGAAGCTTTGCATATATATAATAAAATTGAATACAGGGAAGGCAAATATTTTTATACCCCACTACAGATTCTGGTTTTACAGGGGAACATTCATGTTTACCATATTTTTTTGATGAAATATACAGACACCCTATTAACAATCTTTGAGTCATAAATATTTTTGGCATCACTGAGATATTGGAATTATCATATCCAGAGTGCAGTACTGTCATATGGACGAAGTGTACCTGTTAGGTCAACTAATTTGAAGAAACAACAAAATTATATGGCAGTTATTAATCAACAAATGCAAAACAGAATGGTGAAACAGGATTCATGTAACCAACCCCATCAGTTAGTTGGGATAATGGTTGGATGATGAAGAAGATGAATATGCAGTAAATTGCCCCTTCAAGAAGAGGTGGGGAAACCTTGTGGAGAAAAGGAAAAAATGGAAATATGGAATACACCCTCTTTAGAATCGAGAGGAATGAAACTTAAGTTAGTACTGCAGCAAAGTGCTGATTTAGCTATCTCACCACAGTTTACACAATTGATTAGATGTACCAAGGATTAGCATGACTGGTAAGATTAGAATCATCAACAAGACTAAAAACTGATTTTGTCATTAATCATCTTGTAAATTGATTTGGTTTTACAGATACACTGTTTTCTAGCAAAGAAATTGGAAGAGGAAAAAAAAAGAAAACAGAAGAGAGAGAGAGAGAGAGAGAGAGATGATTAAAAAATGATTCTCTGTTTATTTTCTTCAGCCAGAAGCCTTATATAGGTTGTTAACAGCATGATAGTTTCATGTGGTTTTACATGAGAGAATAACTAATTGTTGCCATGTGCCCTCCTCACATAAATAAACTGAATAGGTGGTCCTGCGACGTTGTCTCCATCCTTGCTATCTTCCAACATGTAATGAGCCGCTGGTTTCTGGGCCTTATAACAGAAACTAAAAGGTCATTACCCAAAGTTGGTTCCAACTATCTGGGGTAAAACAGGACAAAAAAGGGAAAGTTTAGGGTGCTATTTTCTCTTGGAGTTCTTTCCATCTTATTTTCTCTTGGAGTTCTTTCCATCTTATTTTCTCTCAAGTCTCAACAACCAAATAATGCAGAAGTCCTTTCTCTTCCCCTTTTATTTTCTCTCAATTTCTCTAATATAAAATACAGGGCAGTTCAAGCTTAGGTGTTTTTCCTTTTCATTTATTCCTTTTGTTTGTAGTTGCATTTTTCAGATAGTTGAGGTCATCCAAATGTTGTCAGGTATGAATATGAACTTTGCATATAACAAATCCAAGTTGTGGACAAACATTTGGAATGTTGTGATTGATGAATGACATGTCTGTGGCAGGTAGGTTGTGAATGAAGAACAATCAGTTGTTCAGAAATAATGTATACCTTCCTTATATGGTACATACATGCATACAGATATACAATGTTAGAAATTCCTAAAAGATCTCAATGCAAGATCATAAGAAAATTATAATAAAAATACAACAAAATGAAATTCAGGAAGAGTAGAGCCCAAGACTTGGTGACTCCAAGTTAATCAACCAATCCATTCTGAAACTTAATATACACGATACATCCCAGAGGAATGGCGAGATTGTTCTACATTTTTTGCTTGTATCATCAACTGTTCAATCCTTTCTTTTCCCTTTTCCATGTTTGTCATCTCAAGTTTTTCCACCAGCATCTTATATGTGTTATACTTAGGAACCATTCCCTTCAAAACCATTTCTTTAAAAAAGACACAAGCTAGATCTAGTTTCCCACTCCTACACAGCCCATGCACCAAGAGAGTATAAGTCCCAGCGTCAAGGCTGACGTCTTTTTTAAACATATCATTCAATAAATAGAAAAGGATTTTTATCCATTTTTTCTTGCAACACATCTTCAGTAAAGGCGCATAAGTTTTCAGATCAGGCTTGCAGAGACACTCCTCCATTTCCTGAAGCAGCTTCAGAGCATTTTCTTCTTGTGAATGCTCACAAGCAGCTGTGATCATAGTATTATAAGTTGTTACATTTGGAATAACCCCACCCTTTGACATCTCTTCATATATCTCACGAGCATCTCGGAGCCTACCGGCTTTGCTTAGGATGTAAATCAAAGAATTGTAGAATGAAGTATCAGGAACACAACCACTCCTCTTCATCCTCTCATAAACTTCTAATGCTTCACGGGTTTCCTTTGCCTTCCCCAAAGCATGCATAACAATAGTGTAAGTGACAACATTTGGAGGGCAACCCTTGGCCTGCATCTCATCAAGAATAGCATCAACCTTGCGGAAATCCTTCTCACAACAGTAAGCCTCAATAAAACTAGTATAAGAAATCACGCAAGGATGAAACCCACATTTTTCCATCTCTTCCATAATCAACCAGGCCTTATCCAGCTGCCTGGCTTTGCACCATCCATGCATCAAGATATTAAAAGTATGAGAATCTGGAGGTATCTCATTCTTGAACTCCAAAAGTGCTAACTGTGCATGCTCAACACTCCTCTCCTTGCATAATGTGTCCAACAGCATGTTCATGGCTGAAGTATCCTTGCTCACTCCAAAGCGTTCTATATTACGGAAACTCTCCATTGCATCTGTCCATCTACTGGCTCCTGCAAGCCTTCGCATGATCTTACTCATTGTTACCAATGAGATCAATCCTCCCAATCGGACCATCTCCTCAACCAATTCCCACATCACATCAAACTGCTTTGATTTTCCAAGAATGTCAACCATCAAATCATAGGAGTCAACCGAGTGTTTAAAACCCATTTGCGTGTTGGCCCACTTAAAGAGACCGAAAGCTGAGACCCAATCATTGCTGAACCTTTTTAATAGTTTGTCAACCAAGCTCTTCGAAACACTGATATCGCTACCATCTATGGCTTGGACCACGGCAACTGGGGACGAGAACCTATTTTTTAGAATCCTACTAATTTTATCAACACTATCATCAATAACCTCATTAGGTAGACATCTGGTCTCGCTATCTGGTTCCTTCTGATTCCGAACCCAATTCACAATTGAAGGAAGAACAAAATCATCTTCAGAATCAGTGAGTGGAGAACTCCCATCCTGGGGGAATTTAACCCAATCGGGAAGCTCAGGTGACTCATTAATGCCACAGAAACGCTTGACTATGCAGTGGTACACTACGTTAACAGGGTGAATAACACCATTGCACAAGCTGAAGGTTCTCCGTGTCGCAAAACGCATAGCAACCTCACAACCTCTGAGTTTTGCATGCATGGTAAAGTAAACAAACCCAAGATAGATAAGTGAGGAAAGCTCAATCAAAACGCACGGGAAGAAGAAGAATCAGAAGGAAGTAACTACCAGGGTAGGTCTCTAATCCGTTCACCTAAGTTAGGTAGCATCTGTTTAACCTGTGCGCTGATTTTATATGAGGTTATAGCATTCAGAAAAGAAAGGAAAAATTGAAACAACATTAGAAATTCCAAGTGGGTAGGTTTGTGGTGAGTACAGAAGTTGATAACAAATGAAATAAAGAAGAAGATTTGAGTTGCGAAAACACACAAAGGAGATCAGAGGAAGAAGGGTACCTTCTGCTAATGCTAGGTTGCTTTTAAGGAGAGGAAGAAGACACAGCGCGGCATCGCCTTCGAAAAAAGGACCGCCGCCAGCGCCAAGAACCAAAGAAGGCGAGCGAGTCGAGCCTAACCCTCAACTCGTCCTGTTTCTTTCTTTCTTAAATCTCACCTCTACCAACGCAATTGAAGTATAGAACACTGAACACGGATGAATTGCTTTGCGGTTAACTACTTAACCGTGGTCTCTATTTCTCTTACCCTAACCCATTGTGTTTATTCGGGTGACAACTGTCGGATTCGGTAAGAAACCGAAACCGGATTCAAGCCAAAAACCTAGATGGGCGGCAAACGGATCGGATCGATTTGGATTGGATATCCTTTGCAAATCATAGAATCAAATTGAATTCGATTCGTTTACATATTCATATATCTTATCCAAATCCGGTTCCAATTTCATTCGATTAAAGTATTAATAATTTATATAAAATTAGTATAAATTTATAATATATAATTTTAGAAAAAACAATACTTACGATTTAGAACCCACACCAATTTATTTACCTTTTTTCGAATGTGAGTGAGCCCATATAGGAAAAATCTATGATGCCAAAAAGATACGATACGAAAAGTTTTGATTAATTAAAATCCATTCATGAATTTTAATAAATAACACTTTATTTGTTATCACATTTATGATTTCAGTTTATTGGCCAATTGTTTTTCAGATATCATATATTTTTCATATCATAGTTGAACCCATATATATATATATATATATATATATATATATATATATATATATATATTATTGAATTGGGTATGCTTTTCGCACGCTAAATGGAATCTACTCACAGCTACTCGTGCGAGTAGATTATGAAATGGGTATGCTCTTCTCGCTAGGTTTTTATTCTTTAATTCCTTAGTTGTTTTGATATTGTTGAGTGGGAACTCAAAGGTTAAATGTATTTTAATGTGGAGTTTCGTATATTTTAGTTAAGTTGTGGCCTTTGCATGAACTATCATTAAATTCCTCACTTGGATGGAAATAGGAAAAAATCCTTCATTTATTCACGGGGAAGATGGAACTCACAATAGTGTATTTAGTTTGATTTTTCCTTATTTTTTGTTTCATTATACTTCTTGTTGAAGGGAGGAGAAGACGGAGGGGAATTCCATGTTATTTTTCGCAGTTTGTTTGTTCCTTTGACTAGGCATCAAGAGCAGATAATTATTTTATTTTTTGTGTCTATTCCTTGGACTAAAGCGCGAAGAATTAATTGATAGATAATTATTTTATTACCTCTAGATCATTGGCTATTGTTGTTTACTATTATATATGTGCAATCGTCTTTTGCTCCCTTCCAAGTTTTGTTTGTTATTAACTTTTGTGGTAAACAAATCCTCTTCTACTTTTATGTAGACTAGAATACCTTCAATGACTTCCAAACATTGAGGCACCATCATGCATCTACTTCTTTAGGTATGAAAGTGAACATTGGCAATTGCTTGTACATTTATTTATTGTTCTTATTGAGTGGGATCTATTGATGTTAGGAAGTTCTTTTTTGTGCTTATGCTTGCATTTATTGCTCTATTTGTTATCTTTATTCTCACAAATGTAATTTTTTTTGATAAATTTCTCATAATTTGATGTAGCACAAGAGAAGGCCAATAAGTTCTATGCAAGTTGGGACCACTCCCAAGACACATAAGAAGTTTGGATGATGTTACTACTCCAATCGAATAATCAACTACCGAGTTAGCACCAGCATGAAACTTCTATCTTAGTTCGAATTTACCAAGTTAGCACCGGTGCAAAACCTTAATCTTAGTTCGAACTTACCAAGTTAGCGCCAACATGGAATTTCTATCTTAGTTCAAATTCACTAAGCTAGTGTCAGCCCAAGACTTCTATTATAGTTCAAAATTACCAAGTTAGCATTAGATCATGATTTCCGAATTTTTGTTCAATTAGGACTTTCTTTTTGAAGAGTTTTAGTATAATTCTATTATGGAGTGTTTTCATACATTAGAAAACTTTCTTGTAGGAACCATAAGGGTGTAACCCTATGTAAAGAGTAGCTAGGGAAAGGCTAAGGGAGTTTTTTATGTTGATTTTTCTCTTAATTATTCAGTGAAGAATTCTTCTTCCTAATAATTCAACTTATACTCTTTTATTTGAAGTTTTTCTCAACGTGGTTTGTTTCCGTACTATGCTAGTTGGTATCAAAGCTTAAGTTGATCATTATTCGAATTATGGCTCCTAAGAAAAAACAAGTAGTTCACATCATGGAGTAGGAACCCAACAACAAAACGCAAGACGAGATGGCGGAGTTGAGAAGACAAGTCGAGGCACTTGCTCAAGAGGTGAAATCGTTGTATTCCCGTTTGGAAATAAGAGAAAACGACTCTGACGCAAGTATCTTCACACGTTCCTTTTCATCATCAAAGCAAGCAACTAGATCAGTTATATAGTTGCGGGTGGTGACCAGAGACGGTGGGAAGTATGTCTCAAGATTGAGATCCTGGAATTCCAAGGAGGCATGACTAGAAAAATTCATGGATTGGCTCTTCATGGTAGAAGAAGTCATTGAATTCAAGGAAGTTCCAAAAAATAAAATCATGTCCTTACACTCGATTTGGAGGACGAACAGTAGCATGATGGCATCAATTGAAGGTTATGCGACAAAAGAGAAAAAAGAAAAAAGATTAAGACATAGGAGAAATTAAGGCAAAGATGAGGTCAAAATTTCTAGCTTTAGGTATATTATAAGATTGATAAGAAAGGGTCATACAAAGTTGAGTTAGAAACCATTCAAAGATTCAACTTCAAATTTGATATATGTATACAAATTGTTGGCAACAGACATCTTTCTTATGAGAATTCAGCTGAGTGTGGGGTACATGTGCTTTTCCTTTTTTTCCCCTATCTTGTTTGAGGTTCCCATTCATTTTGGGAGTTAATTTCTTATTCTTCTTTTTCTTTGAAGTTATTCGAAAGTTGGGTTTAGCACATTTGTTTTACTTATTAATGCTTCTTATTAATTTTTGGTCTCAGTAAGCAAGGGGAGAGGGGGAAGAGACACGTATGTGCTTAATTTTTTTCACCTAATTTCCTTGCCTCAGACTAGGGATGGCAATTTGCCCCGTAAAACCGGGGCCCCGCCCCGAATGGGCAGGTTTTCCCCGACCCTAAACAAGGACGGAGCGGGGACGGGGAAAATAAGTTTTCCCCAAACCGGGTCGGGGCAGGGATGGGCTTTGTATATAATTCCCCGAACCCGAAGGTAAATTAGTAAAATATCTCTAGGTTTAATATTGATATTTAAAATATTTCTAAGTTTTTCCTAAATTTTTGAAATCCTAGGATTCTATAATTTTATTTTTGAATTACCCCTAAAATATTATAATTCAATTTTAAAATACCCCCAAATTCCTATATCCTATGTATAAATTGTCCATAAAATAGATAATTTTTAAGTAATTGCCTTGGAGAGGGGAAAATTCGAGGATTCTCTGTTCTCGATGGGGAGTGGATGCCCCGCTCTGAACCCGCCCCGCCACCGGGGACGGGGTAGGTATGGGGCAAGGTATCATGACTTCGGGGCGGAGACGGGGAGGGGGTGCCCTGCCCCATTGTCATTCCTACTCAGATCCCTTATTTTGGTGAAAATATAGAACTTATTTGTTTGTACTATTTCTAATTTATCTGAATTAGTATGTTTGTTCCTTTCTTCTCTTTTGTATTAAAGATTCTGGTTAACATTTTTGAAACACTTATCAATTAAAAATAATTAAATTGCTCTCCTATAGCTTTTAAACAACTTACTTTTTGTTTGTGTAATAATTAGAAAGGAAATTTTCACTTTAGTACCCTGAACTTTGGGGGTAGTGTCAAGTTAGTATTCAAACTTTCAAACATGTCATTGCAGTACATAAACTTTCAAAAAGCGTCAAGTTGGTCCCTACCGTTAACCGACCATCAATTATTTATTGAAAATGTCAAAGCTACCCTTCAAAAGAAGACATTGTCCATTGTCTTCTACATTGAGACTGAACTAGTTGAGGTGTTTAAGATTGTAGACTAATAAAGTCGTTGTCTTCTACCTTTAGATTTGAAACACATCTTTCAGTTATTGTTTCCCTCTACAATATTTCATGCTTTTTCTCTCTTTTTCTTTGAAGACAACCGGTTCAATCTCAAGGTAGAAGACAATGAACAGTGTCTTCTTTTGAAGGGTAGTTCTGACATTTTCAATAGATAACTGACGGTCGATGAATGGCAGGGACTAACTTGACACTTTTTGAAAGTTTTGGTACTACAATGACACGTTTAAAAGTTTAGGTACTAACTTGACACTACCCCCAAAGTTCAAGGTACTAAAGTGGAATTTTCCAAATATATGAAAGACCCATATTTAAATGGCCATTGCTAATGAATGATTGGTTTTTCCTTTTTTTTTTGTGGATATCTTGGGTTCCACTACGTCTACCTTCAATCATTTGGCATATTTGGAAATTTTATGATTTAGAGGTGATGAAAGGTTTTTTGGCAGCACCCTGTTGTTTGGACTACTTCTAGGTGGCCGATGACTCAGAGGCCGAAGTGGAGGATTTTTGCTAGATGAGGACTTGGATGCCGACCTAACTAGGCTGAGTTGGGAGGTTGATTGGGTGTCGAGCTAGGTTGATTGTCGAGCTAGGTAGCTCTTTAGAGAAACCTGGAAGGAATCAATGTTAGAGGACCCGGGGTGGCTATCCCGGCGAGGTCGCTCTGATGATTAAGTTAGTACTCTCGTAGTAGATCATGAGCTAAAAAATCAGAAAGTATGAGAGCTAGAATGTGCTTACTCGCCACTCTTGTGTCATTGGGGTTGGTGCCTTTATATAGGCATTGTCTGGTGTGGGCCTCATGCACCGCATCCGAGATTTCCGGGAGGTCGTGCCTAACCGGTCCGAGATCCTCGGAGGTAATCGCCATGCACGTTAACCATCCTCTAGAACATTCGGTACGTGGGCCAACTTTTGAGAAACCTGGGAACGTCAGGATATGCATGCCAAATTTGTTGGCGAGCACATCTCATAGGTCGCCGTCTGGTCCTCAGTCAAGTCGGCAAGCCCTCGAAGGAGGTCGCTCCTTGCATTGATGTCACTTCGGTAGGTGACGAGGTGCTAAATCCATCAGCTTCGGCAGTTTGGGGCC